TCTTAATGGTAAAGCTGGCCATGCACGGGTAGATTTTTAGACAAACTCTCATACATAAAATCTTGTCAGAACATATAAGTCATCAGCAGGGGTGTCCCGATCCATTTTGCCGTCTGAGACAGAGGGCGAGGTTGCTGGTGGCGAGTAACGCCGCCACCCAGGCATAAGGGAGTGACGTTGCCACTCTGGCAGACGTCCTGCAAAGCTCATGACAACCAGTGATGTCATTGGTTGCCAGGAGATGGGCAAAAAGCCGACCAGAGCATCCCAGGTTGGTAAGAGCTGAGTGGATGTGTATTGCCCTTACACATCTCCTCACCTGGCTCTTAGCAACCTGGGACGCTCTGGCTGCTAGGAGGCCGGCAGGCACACTACAAACATGCCACTTTGCCTCCTGCGCCCCCAGTAACCCTAAGAGATGCCGCCTGAGGCAACAGCCATGGTCATCAGAGACTTGAATGTTGTATCAAATTTTGTTGGTTTTAACATTTAGTTTTGGAATGAAAGGAGCTCCCCGAACAAAAACCCCATTCACAGATTTGTTCGTCTTGTCTAAATCAGGGGTAAACAAAGTCTGGCCCTCCAGCTGTGGTGCAACCACAAATCCTATTAGGCATTGCAAGACTCTGACAGCCACACACATGCCTTCCAGAGGTTAATGCATGACGAGGTTTGTAGTTTCACCACAGCTGGAGTTTGCTTACCCCTAGTCTAAATCGATCGTCCATTTGATCCCATGAACTATTAGAAACGATTAACTATTTAGTCAAATGAAATTCTAACCATGTATACCTAGCCTTAGGCCCTGTTCCCACTGTGCGATTTGCATATTGCGCGATATCGCGAGATTTGCCGCGCGATATCGCGAGATTTGCCGCGCGATATCGCGTTCAAGCTTGCATTGAGCAAGCTTGAATCGCGGCTAAATCGGCTCCAAAAAGGGTCCTGCTGTAGCGACACACGACCCGCGACAGCAGGACCCTTTGCCCCATTGAAATGCATTGGAGCGCGATATCGCGCGGTAATTTGCCGCGATATCGCGGGAATTACCGCGCGATAAATCGCTCAATGTGAACGGGGCTTCAGGGAAGCGCACATTGGAGGGTATATGGTGGGGGAAGCTTGCTGTGATGGGGAGCAAACTTATTTTCTTTGTGTGTCCTGAGTTCAGGGAATCTCAGAGCATACAATGAAGACATTTTGATAAAACAATGATATTTATTGGCACATAAATCTGAACTTAACAGTAGTGATGCACCAAAATTTGCAGCCACCTAAATGCAAAATGCCGAAAGTACAATTTGTGGCCAATATGCGGTGTATCCCTATGCTCTCTCCTCCCCTCTGGGCGCTGCTTTGTGTCCCCTCTGACACAGCGGAGAGGAGAGAAACTGTCAGGAGGCCGAGCGAAGAGGGGAGGAGAGTGCTGTCAGTGTTGTCAGAGGATGCCGAGCTCTCCTCCCGCACCGCCCCGCTCAGCCTCCTGTGACAGATCACGAGAGCGGTATGTGGGTGGAAACAGCTGTCAGCGGTGTCACAGGAGGCAAAGCTCTCCTCCCGCACCGCCCCCCTTAGCATCCTGTGACACATGAGGAGTGCGGTGTGTGGGCGGAGACAGCTGTCAGGATAGAGAGCGGCTTACAAGCACTGAGCAATCAGCTGAGTGTTTGTGAATAATACAGATTCATATAGGAAAGCTGCCGCACTCCTTACCGGATACCCCTTGGATGATGAAATGGGTGCTGAAGTGATAATGGATGTGTATCAGACTAATGTAAAAATATTAGAGGTGCACCAAAATGAAAATTTCAAACTCTAAACGAAACCAAAATAAAAAAAATGTCAGGCCGAAGCCGAATTTTTTTTTTTTTTTTACTTTTTCAAATAATTTATTTTTAATAAACATTTTAATTTTTATTTATTTATTCATTTTTTATTAAATATTGTTTACTTTACTTTTAGGGGCTTCTTGGAAATATTGGGGGTCTAAAAAGACCCCTTATATTTCCCTTTTAAAATAGAAAAAGAGATTGAGGACAGAGTCTGCAGCTCCAGTTATAAATGAACAGGAATCCTCTATGAGTGTTCCTGTTCTCCTGTTCATTCATAACATGAGGACATGGTATGTTTACTATAACCACAATCATGAATGAATGGGAGGTGATGTAGATCACTTCCCATTCTTTCATAACTGAGGATTTAGTCAACATACCATGTCCTCAATCATATATAAACACTAAGTGATCACTAAGCTCTCTACTATCTGTGCGATTGTGGAGGGCTTAGAGGTCCAGATTCACCCCTCTGGGGAATTGGAGACAGTGCAGGTTGCATTGGGCCTGGAATGGTGATATTTAGTAAGTGACTCTAAAGGTCTTGGTTATGGAGGCGCTGATGAGTTGTCTACAGCCCTGGAAGATACTCCTAATTGAGCCGAGACCCTGGGTGATATGGCGGTATGAACTCTTCTTCTCCTGTTGAGGAGCATTGGATCGGAAAACAGTCTCATTGTCACAGGTCGGCTAGAACTATGAGGTGAGTGAAAAGCACTCACCTCATAGTTCTCCTTTAACCCTTTCGCTGCCAAGGACGTATGGCATACGGACCTACAAAAGTGCTTCCAGCTGGCCAGGTCAGTATGCCATACGGACCTGGCATTTACAGTTCTACTATAAGCTGATGGTCGCTTTAGCGACCATCAGCTTATAGTATAACTGTTCAGCAGACTGTCCCCTTTAAATTAATAGCTGTCATACGCTAGCAACGCAGCAGTTGAAAATCAAATCAATAGGAAAAAATTGCAGAAAATTCAAAAATGGCTTGGCCAGCTGATTTGAAAAATGTTCCGGAGGGCTTGGCAGCGAAAGGGTTAAGGGCCTGGTATGACTTTAAGGGGGAACCCCACACACTTTTTTTGTGTTTTTGTTACATGGGGTCCCTCTTAAATATTCCTACCAGACCTTAAGGGCCTGGTATGACTTTAAGGGGGAACCCCACACACTTTTTTTTGCTACATGGGGTCCCTCCTAAATTTTCCTACCACACCTTAAGGACCTGGTATGACTTTTAGGGGGAACCCTGCACACTTTTTGTTTAGTTTTTTGTACATGGTATGACTTTAAGGGGGAACCCCACACACTTTTTTGTGTGTTTTTGTTACATAGGGTCCCTATACTGCGGCGTCTCAGTATACTACTGAGCCTAGGGTGACGGGAGGACGCTAGTTTGTGTCCTCCCGTTACCCTAAGGAGAACTATGGGGAAGAGCCTTAACCCCATAGTTCTCCTTTAAGGTCTGGTAGGAATTTTAAGGAGGAACCCCACCCCCAAAAATGAGGGGGGAAAACGTGGGTCCCCCCCTAAAATTCCATACCAGACCCTTGATCCGAGCATAGGCCTGGCAGGGCCGAAAAGGGGGGTGGAAAGCGAGCCAGGCCCAGGCCACATGCCCTCGGCACTGGGAGGGTGTCCCAGTGCCGATGGGGACAAGGGCCTCGTCCGCACAACCGTGACCCGGTGGTTGTGGGGGTCTGCGGGCAAGGGGGCTTATTTGCATCGGGGTACTGCTTTAATTAAGGGGGCACCCAGATGCCACCCCCCTCCCTTGTGAATGAGTCACTGAAGGGTTGAATCCAATAGCTAGTAAATAGTCCAGACTTTTGATAAAATCCTTTAATTGAAAAAAAAAAAAGACATGTTTTTGACAAGTCTTTTATTAAAAAAGAACCCAAAAATGGATCCACCGATGTAGTCCATGGTCAATCACGGCATCCAGCATTGTCCACGACGACGGCGCGAAAAAAATAAATAGAAATAATAATAACAAATTTTAAAAACGCCGGCCGCCGTCCAGTCCGCTCCCCGCCGCATAATTTTGACAGTTGCCAGAAAACATAAACAATTGGGCGGAGCTGGTGGTGCCAGCAAGCCCTGCCCAATTGTGTCGTTTGCCGGCATCTGATAGGCGAGACATGATTGGGCAGAGTCATTATGACTTTGCCCAATCATGGCACCAAATGAGTACTGAGCCCTGATTGGGCAAAGTCTTGCACCTGACCTGTGGTCAAGTGCAACTCTTTAACCAATTAGAGCTTCAAAGGGCTCTTTATAGTATGGAACGTCGAACAGACCGCAAACATCCCATAAAGTTCGGTGTGCGCTTGAACAGCCAATGTTCGATTCGAACTCGTGTTCGAATCGAACCGGCGGACCATCCCTAACTAGGATGAGCGCACTGTCTATATTATGGGTGGGCAAATTCCAGTCATCCAGCTGTTGTGAAATTACAAATCCCATCATGCATCTGTCTTTAGGAGTCATGCCAATGGCTGTGAAAATCTTGCAATGCTTCATGGGATTTGTAGTTCCACAACAGCTAGAGGGCCAGAGTTTGCCCAGCCCTGTTCTCTATGGACTTGCTGAGGATTGCTAGGGTGACATGACAGTTGTTGAGCAGCGCTTGTTAACCAAGGTAGGAGAAGAAAAAAAATATACTAAAGTGTATACTATGATTGCATGTAATAACTTGACACAGAACATGTGACGGGGATGTGTGTCTAGCTGAGTGACAGCGGAGCACTGTACACAGCGCGCCTACACAGTGCTCTACCCTCCTGTCAGACTCCTGTGTGTGACTGTCATCTCCAACCTTCCCGCCTTCCCCTCCTTGTCACGTGACCCGATCACTCTCTCTGTGCGGGGATTTAAATGGCACGGTGCTGGATCGCTGCTTGTGTATGATCGCTGAATCCGACAGCGGTCTATAGAATGAGGCTAACACAGGGCCCTTTAAATGTAAGCAGCCATGTACCGTTATAATACTGCCACCTCTCTGCAGTACTGGCACTTTTTCATTAACTGTTCCTGTGCTGTGTAGTAGTGAGTACCTCCTCCCTTCTGATCGTGGCTGGAACGCTTCCTCGTGTCTGGTCTAACCTCTGATAATTCTTGCACTTTGCAGCACTTATCTGCAGAGGAGAGCTCGTGATATCTCTGATGTTTGTGCAGGCATGGTAAGAGAACTCTAACAGAAGGAAGAAGAGCTCTTAACATGTACCCCTGGATACTTCTCATAGCAGGCTTCCTGCTCAGCTCTGCTGATGCATCTACTGGAACCCCAAACATCATCCTGATATTTGCTGATGATATGGGCTATGGAGACCTGGGTGTCTATGGGCACCCCACTTCCCACACCCCCAATCTGGACTCTATGGCTGCCAGAGGACTACGCTTTACAAACTTCTACGCCACAGGGGCAGTGTGCTCACCTTCCAGGTAATCTATATCATATGTGTATGTTATAACCGCTGCACCGGGCATTCATTCACACTTAGCCTCATCAGAACTTTGTAGCATGCTTAAACCCTGGCTCTCCAGCTGTTGGGGAAATACAAGTCCCATGAGTCATTGCAACACTGACAGTTACAGACATGACTCCCAGAGGAGTTTTGTAGTAGTTAAAGCACAGCTGGAAGGCTGGAGCTGCCCATCCCTGCTCTAGAACGTTGTTGTTGCAGAATTCACATATGCATAAATCATTGGGGGGAATCTGGAGCAGATAGAATTTAGGGCAGTTGCCCATGGCATCTAAATCGGCTCCTAGCTTTTGTTTTTCAAAGCTTAACTGAAGAGAGAAGCTGATTGGTTACTATAGGCAACTGCTCCAGTTTTGATCAATTCCCCCCACTGTCTTTCTGTCTCTCGGCGTTGCTTGAAAGTCAGCACCTCTGTAGTTTTGTGGCTCTATAGATATATATATATATATATATCTCTATGATTTATAAGTGACATATTCATGGAAATATGCACTCATTTGTGTAATAAAAAATGTATTTTAATATGACGATTGTTACATCATTTTTAGATACTTTCTGATGAAGCAGACTAAAGCTGACCATACAATGCATGAGTGACAGCTGGCCCTGCCTATCTAGAGGCAGAGCCACCTGTACCCGCCCCCTTCCCCGTCTGTTCCGCCAGTCAGCGCTGGGAGGGGGGAATCCAGTCCCTCCCGTCACGGCTCTTTGCCGTGACAGGATTGAGAAGTGAGCGAACGCCGGTATGTGTTCGCTCACTTCCCGATCTACTGAGCCGACCTGTGACAGTTTTATTGTCATAGGTCGGCTAGAACTATGAGGTGAGTGAAAAGCACTCACCTCATAGTTCTTTTTAATTATGTAAAATGATGCTGCTGGGTGCCTATGGCAAATAGTATGTAAAAACTCTTCTTTGCACCATGAGATGGTCTATGCCGCTTTGCAAGATTCCAAAAGACTGAGAACATATTGGACTTGGCAGGGAGGTGTCCTTAACCTCATTATTCTAGCACCGAAATGTTTTAGCTTTCACCTACCTACATTTAAAATGTACAAATGGTGGGGGGTATAATTTATAGCCAGATAGTGTTGTCTTGCTCTTCACATTTGCCTTAGATCAGGGCTAGACAAATCCCAGGAGCCTGGTAGCCAATGCTTCCTAAAAATGACAACTGGCATCTAACTTTTAGGCCTCATTCACACTGCCGCGCATATATGCGCGTACACACGTATAGTACAATATGCAGCATATGCAAATAAATGGCTCCATACACATAGCTGCTTATAGAGCCGTATATTTGCGTAGCGTAAAAATGCGCAAAAACAGAATGGAACCGAGATGCATCCGGGCTGCGTATTCCTGAGTATTTACACGCATATATACGCACGTTCGCGCATACAGTTCATTAACATTTCTATTACAAAAGATACATTGTGGGATTGCAAATAGTGCACGCATATACGCGTATATACGCAATATACAATTTTGCTCATGCGTTGTGTGTGAATGAGGCCTTAAGGTTCACTTTAGTTGTTGCCAGTGGAGCTGGCTCCTAAAAAATAAAAATCTTGCTGACTCCGGGATTGGATATCTTGGCTTCTGAATTCCAGATGAATGTGTCCACCCTTGCTTTAGATAGTAGGCTGAATCTAGCTGCCCTAGTTTTCAGTTTAAACATGTCTTTTCTGGTGTATATTCAAAAAGCTATATTTTACACTTGTTCCTTGAGATATCTGATAAAAGAACAGCGTAACAAATCAATGCTGTATATTCTCTTTTCAGGTCAGCTTAGAGGAGGAAAGGTTGCAGGCTTTTCTTCCAGACACTTCAGTATGAGTTCTCAATTTGCTACGTTTCCATCCTCTTCATTCTTCTCTGTTAATGTTCTTCTCCCTGTCATTCAGGGCCAGTCTCCTAACAGGTCGCTTCCAAACTCGCTCTGGAGTGTACCCTGGTGTGTTCTACCCCAGCTCAGTTGGAGGTTTGCCTCTAAGTGAGGTTACCATTGCTGAGGTACTGCAGTCACGTGGTTATGTCACAGCCATGGCAGGCAAATGGCACTTGGGCCTCGGGCTGAATGGGACGTTCCTGCCCACTCGACAAGGGTTTCAGCACTTCTTGGGAGTTCCCTATTCCCATGATCAGGTATACAGCCTTTGGAAAGGTGATATACATGTTATTTGTAACCCACTTAGTCAGTGATGTTCACACGGGACTTAGTAATCGGCTAACTAGGGTTGTAAAGGTTTGCTAATCACTAACTGCTTACGTTCATTAATGGTGAGCATTTCTGTTAAAAAGCAAGACTTGATAGGGGGAACCTGCTATGCTATGACAATTTTACAAAGTGCTAATGGTCTGCTTAAATGCGGTTTCAAACTCTTATTATTTAATACTGAATATGACTGGGAGTGCTTGTGGCGCTGTGCAGTTTGGTTCTTTACAATTTGACTAGCAATTTGATAGTCAAATTGCTAGCATTTGATTAGCAATCTGTCAAATGCTAGTTGACAGATCGTTATTGTAACCTACTAGCTTTCATTTTTGAGGTGCTAAGCTCAAACAAATATGCAGATCAGATAAGTTGGATAAAAGTCAGAACTCTGTTGGCTTGGTCAAGTACTGTGGCTAGCATTTCCAGAAGAGGGATCTCCAAAGACATCCTCCATATTTCTCTCATCACAGGCTTGTAAGCTATTTCAGTGAAGGTTCTGCATTCTGGAGTACCTTGGCCTGTCCCCTTGCCTGGCTTGGACCAGCGGTCACTAAATGACCGACATGGACAATGTCTGGACATGGACCAAGTGGCAGGTTCTGTCCATACTGTGATCGCCAACCCGCGCTGGGTCATGGCTGGCTGGCAGTGGATACACCGGCCTCCAAGACCAGGGAGCATCCGTTCCCCGATCTGCTCTGTGGTCACTGACGCATGAAGCACTGCTCCCATCGCTTCATGCATCAGCCGTCAAGAACCGGCCGAAGTGCCGGGTATACAGTTCATCAAGCACATTCTTTTGCTTGATGATCTGTATTGGAATGGCAGGAGAGACATCAGTTGTCTAATATACCCCCGATGTCTCCATAAAGAGAACCTGTCACCACCAAATGCTGTCACACAGGGGCTTGTTAGCCTCTTTGTGATAGCAAAAGTTAAGATTAAAAAAAGGTGATAAAAAAATGTAAAAAGGTGATACATTGAATATTAATTAAAAAAAAATTAAAGGTGGTAAAAAGTAATAAAATAATTAAAAACCAAGCCTGCTGCCCCTGCCATCTGATTGTAATGAACACATGTGTGTAAGGCATGCATGTGTATGTAAATGGGTGATGCACCGGGAACACACACCAGTAGCTGTCCAGTGCAGCTGCTGGTGTGAATGCAGCCTAAATGGCAGACCGTGGTACGGACACGGACTGAGTGACAGTTCCGCCTGGACCGCGATTAGGAACTCTGCTCGATGAAAGTTGTATTTACCGGACATCCTTGTATTTTAATTCACTACCCCCGGCTTAGACCCTTACCAGGAGTTTCATGATGTTTGATATCACATAAAATAGAGTATGCAGCAGAAGGATTATTGTTTTTCAAGTGGTAGCAGTAGGATTGAAACCCCATAGTCAACTTAGGTGGAGTCATACCCTCCAGTTGGCAAAGCTTCCCTTGGTGTTTACAGAGACCTAATAAACCATGACTCGGCCTCTAAATTATCTTTTAGATGATGTAAAACATTGATATATAAAAGTAATTTGCTGCAGAGGTTTACTATCGGTCTTATTCTTTATATGTGACCATAATTAGGTTTCTGTTTTTGCAGGGCCCCTGTCAGAACTTAATATGCTTTCCTCCAGACATCCGTTGCTATGGAACATGTGACTTTGGTGAAACTCTTTTGCCCGTGTTTATTGATGAGGAGATCCTGCAGCAACCAGTAAACTTTACTGAACTTGTCCCTCTGTATGAGGAGTTCAGTAAATCATTTATGCAGAAAGCAGTTGAAGAGAATAAACCCTTCTTTCTCTACTATGCCGCACATGTGAGTCACCATTTCAATTGGCTATCCATTATTTCTAGAGTACCATAAGCAAGAGACATTTAATGCTGTTTTCACACTGGGGAGAGTCCTGAATTAACACAAGATCAATAGACGGTGTCCTTTCCTGGCACAGAAAGGGATCCAGAAAGTATGTTTGTGTCCACTGTAAGCAAGTTGGAGCAGTGGCTTTTGTAAATGTTAATTTAATTTGTTCATGTAATTTTCAGGCAGTTCTCTTTAGTATATACCTGGGGATGGACATGCACATTTGGCCTCAGGGAAATAAAGGGATGATTTACATGTCTTACCTTGTTATTTCAATAGAGATCCTATCACAAACTTGAAAAAATTGCAGATAAAAGCACAAAAAAGTGTACTTGCAGTGTTCTTCCTTTCCATCAGTAACTTTTTATTCACCTGTGAATGTGCCTTTTTATTTAAACAGTTGGTCAGGTGACAGGGTCACTTAAATGAGGGCTAACTAACTCTATTGTTTTCTGAATCTGCGTAGGTCATTCATGACATTTTAGGACCGCAGTACTATACCACATCTCTTTAACCTACTGATGCCTTAATCTGTATATTACGGTTTTTAGGAGGGTGGGTGGCTACTTTTGTGATAGACTGCAATATCACGTTTAATTTACTAATTTGTATTGAGATTGCAGTCCATCACAGGAATGAGCTTGGAGCGGTGGCTACTTTACAACACGTACAAGGGCCATGGGGAACAAAAGTAGCCACCCCGCAGAAGGAAGGACAGTGTCAGCACCAATTCAGAGATGATTTGATGATCTACAGCCGAGTGATACACAAATAAGATACATTTATGGTAATGGTTAAAGGAGAACTATGAAGTGAGTGCTTTTCACTCATCCTCATAGTTCTGGCCAACCTGTGACAATGAGACTGTCACAGGTCGGCTCAGTAGATCAGGAAGTGAGCGAACACAAAACCGGTGTTCGCTCACTTCTCAATCCTGTCACGGCAGAGAGCCATGACGGGAGGGACTGGATTCCCCTCTCTCCGCTCCGATCCTCCAGCGCTGACTGGTGGAACGGACGGGGGCGGGTACAGCTGGCTCTGCCTCTAGATAGGCTAGTTTGTGTCCTCCCGTTACCCTTAGGAGAACTATGGGGAAAAGCCCTAACCACATAGTTCTCCTTTAGGGTACTTGAATGCATTTTTAAGATGTAACTCCTGAGTTTAGTGTCACTTTAAAGTGTATTTTGAGATTTACAGTCAAATTTGAGAACACACCACTTTTTGTTTGTGTTCCTATTTGTACAGCAAACCTAAAAATATTTTTTTAAAGAATACTTCTCACCTTTTTAGATGTTTCCATGTAGCAAGCATCTCTCTCCATTTCTAAGTTACAAGAAACTCTGGCTTTCCCCATAGAAAGACTAGGGACAGACTAAGCTTCCACTCATTAACATACAATGCTTCTAGATCTTTAACCTTTTTGTTAGGACAGACATTGATCAGACATTTGTTAGGACAGACATTGATCAAATCTAGTTTACAACTGATAATGAGATCTGCCAGCACAGTACAGACAGGGTTAATTATGTTAATAATAACCTACCTAACCCCCCTTGCATTCCAGAGGAAAATTCTTCTTTCAGAATTGGTCATGTTACGCGCAAGCGGCTATTTCGTTTTTTTAAGTTGTATCATGTGAATGAGAAACATGTAACAAATATAAAATGGGTGTTATCCCAGTTTGGCTGGAAACGTGGCAGGTTTCCGACTAATGATTAACACGTTTCCTGATCATGTGATCACCGTGACAGTCAATTATAACAATCACAGAAGTTTGTTTACAAACAAATTTCTCCCAGCAGCAGGTAGCATTGTGCCTTTTTTTCGGCGCATTCACTGTGTGCAGAAAAGCCATAAGGTGTTTAAAAAGCATTAGTGTTTGTAAAATTAATACATGGTATGTGTAAAACCAGAAATTTATTTTTTAACATTGTTATCCATTTGTCACCTTGAGTGAAATGCGTTAGCGGAGCTTGTCTTGATGTTTCCTGGATGTGCCAATTTTATATTGAATACAAAGAAGCCACATATACATTCAGCCTGCCTCTGTTCTTTACTACTTGTTAAATTTCTCCCAGAAGCGAGCTTCGCTTGCACCCGCTAGGCTGAGTAACTTGGACTGACCTGCAGCAGCACTAGGGCTAAATCAACTAATTTAAGTTATCGATTATAATGAATAAAGAGAATAGTTGTCTCGTTATCAATTAATTGATCTGGAACAGATGCAGGGGTGTACGGGGGGGGGGGGCATGGGTCACCCCCCCCTTT